AATCAAATCTGCCACATCTCTCAAGGTTCTCTCATATCTGAGTACTATGGATCTGCTAGTTACTTATAGCACAGGAATATGGTAACTTCCATCTCTTCAGATTCCCATCAAATAAAAGAAAAAAGACATTGCAGACATTGAAAACATTTTCTTTAGGAGAGACTTCTGTTTTCATCAGGTGTCAGTGAAAACTAAATCTTTTATCTAGGGCTTTATGTGTTTGATTGGACAGACTTTCCACAGTCTAGTTTCTGGCTTCGTATATTTCAGACCTTGTTTGTCTTCCTCCACCTTATCCTTCTCATACCCCAGGACAACCTCTGGTCTCCTACCTCTGTACCACATTGCCAGAGGAGTTGGCACAGTGGGAGATAGGAGTCTTTTTGGAAGCTGTTCCTAAGTCACAAAGGCTAGCAGCAACTTCAGTATACATGAAACTGACTGCAAACCATATAACTATGTCCCAATAAATAAAAATTAATTGGCTCTCCAACTCACCTTCTCCTTAGCCAGATCCTAAAAATACAGTCACATCAGTGCTAACAGAAGACATGAAAGAATGTGAAGACAGGGGTCTCTACCCACTGTAATTTAAAAAGCTTACTTTTGCAAATTTTACTAACCCCTATGAGCGAGCATGAGAACCTATGGCTAAGGTCTTCTCAGAGCCTTGGAAGGGCATATGCGAGAAGCTTACTCAACATTACCTTCACAGTAAACCCACCTCAGCCTGCCTAGAGTAAGAGTTGCTTAAGTGTCAACTATTATTGTTGGCTCCATTTTTGAACAGTCTTCCCCTTGTGACGGCAAGATGTCTACCATCAGTGGCTCCCCTTCATATCCTGTCAGGTGCTTGCCTGGCAAGAATGACAAAGCACCTCATTCAGTACTTCACGTACCAGGATTTCCTTTGTGACAGCTTGAATCACGAGTCCAGTGAACTGTGCGCCACACGTTGCATTCCTGTGGCAAGAGACAGAATAAGACTACCCAGACCATGGGGGCTGAGCGTGGGGAAAAAGCTGCTTCTACAGAGGAGATATGAGAAATTTAAAGGGTCTGTGAATGCAGAATGAAGAAAATAGATGTCCAGTTACCGTGAGTGTAGAGCAAACTCCGAGAGGAGAGAGTGGAAGGAAGGGGGAAAGCCAGGGAAAGGGTGACAGAATGGAAAATGGAGGTGTCCAAGCTCTCATCCAGCTTGGCAGCTGGGGCGGGGCCTGCCCTGATATGCTCAGCAGACATGCCCTGCCCCTGAGGATCCCATTGGCCTGAGTGAACAACACGTGGGCTTAGCCAAACCCTGCTATGCCTGCTGCCCTTGCTTCAGAATGACCACCCCCAGATACTCTTTGCCTCTCTTCTGTCCTCTTGCCCTGGCCTTTGTCCTTCTTGGACCATCTCTCCCAGTCTCTGCTTCTTAATCACAGCCTTTGCAGGGAGGCTTGGGGATGGGGGAATCAGAAAGACTTACACCAACAACTTTGCTCCCTTGCTCTCCTGGTCCTTCCCCTTTCCCACTTGAGTGTGAACCAAATAAAATTCTAAGTCTTGGCACATAATTCATTTCCTCTTGTCCTTGCCGGATTCTGTGGCACCTCCATAACCCTGCTCCAATAAGGTAGCCACTAGCTACCTATGACCACTCTATTACATTTGAAATGTAGCTATTCTGAATTAAGATATGTTGTAAGTGCTGCGAAAACTGGAAAGCTACACACAAAAGAGTGACCCTGGACCACTTTCTGACACAAAAATCAACTCTAATGGATTAAAGACCTAATGTGAGACCCAAAATCATGAAACTCCTAAAAGAAAATGCAGGCAGTAAACTCTTGGATATTGGCTTTTACACTATTTTTTTGGAATCTGTTTCCTCCAGCAAGGGCAATAAAAGCAAAACTAAATTATTGGGATGACACTGAACTAAAAACTTTCTCACAGTGGAGGAAACAATCAACAAAACTGAATGAGAGAAGATACTTGCAAATGATATATCTGATAAGAAGCTAATATCCAATATAGACACAGAACAAATACAACTCAACACCAGAAACACAAACAGTTCAGTTTAAACAGGGGCAGAGAACTTGAACAGGCACTTCTCCAAAGAAGACATCCAGATGGCCAACAGACACATGAAAACATACTCAACGTCACTCATCATCAGGGAAATGCAAATCAAAATCACAATGAGATATCACCTCCCATCTGTCAGAATGGCTAGTATCAAAAAGACAGGAGATAACAAGTTCTGATGAGGATGTGGAGAAAAGGAATGCTCGTGCCCTGTTGTTAGGAAGGCAAACTCATACAGCCACTGGAAGACAGTATGCAGTTTCCTCACAAAATTAAAATGGAACTACCATATAATCTCGTAATCCCACTTTGGAGTATTTAACTGAAGAAAATGAAAACGCTAATTTAAAAAGATACATGCCCAGTTGTGTTTTTTTGCAGCATCATTTACAATAGCCAAGTATGGAATCAACTGAAATGTCCATCCACAGACAATAGGTGAAGAAGTTGTGGTATACATAAATACAATGGAATATTACCCAACTGTAAAAAAGGATGAAATCTTATCATTTGGGAAAACAGATAGATGGACTTAGAGGACATTATGTAAAGGAAAATAAATCAGAAAAAGATGGATACCATGTGATCTCACTTACATGTGGAATTTAAGAAACAAAACAGATGAATCAACAAACAAAAACAGAACAAAATCATAAAGACAGCAAACTCTCTGTTGGGGGACTGGGGGAGGGGCAAAATAGGTGAAGGGTATTAAGAGGTATGAACTTCCAGTTATAAAATAAATAAATGATGGGGGTGAAAAGTACAGTCTAGGAAATGGAAACAAAAAGATAAGCTTTAAGTGTAAAACACACAGTGGATTTTGAAGACTTAGTATGAAAGAAATGTAAAAGATCTTCTGAATAATGTCATATGTTGCTTACATGTTGAATTGATAATACCTTAGATTTGGGGCTCAATAAAGGCATTATTAAAATTAGTTTCTTCTATATCTTTTTACTTCTTTAAAATGTGGCTAGTAGAAAATTTAGTATGACATATGTGGCTTACATGACATTCCTACTGGACCGTGCTGCTCTAGACCCTTTTTCCAGAAGCATTCACATACATACCTACCCACATCATTCCATATATAATTTCCAGAACAATTGAGAGTGCCCCAAATCCCATCCATGGGCCCCAGCCCCAAATTAAGAATCTCTGAGTCAGGAATGTCATGGTTTTTACCAGGCTTAGCATCAACCCCACCATCACACAGATGGGGAAACTGAGTACCAAGCTCTCCTCTGAGCCTGACCAGCTGAGCCATGGGCCCCCCAGTCCTCTGGGAATGGTGGGGGCGGGTGCCTGGCCCTGCTGGCACTGGGGGTTACCTCTTAGAAGGTGATGCTGCAGCCTGCCTCTTCAGCTCCCCCACGCCCCTGACTATCTGGTGGTCCCAGATAAAGATCACATCACTTCAGGGAGAGGTTAATTCACTCCTCAGTGAGATGTATTTCTCAGGACTCCTACAGTCCAGGGATGGCTCTGGAGGATGGGCAGGCTCCAGGCTAGGCTAAGCCCAGACTGGGGAAGGGGACACAAACTTTGACTCCAGAGGACATAACCCTGGGCTTGGCCACTCACAAGCCGTGTGAATTCGTGAATTGCTTCATGTGTGACCCATTTTGGAAGAAGTTGTTCTTCATAGTTTTCTACCCTTTACGTTTACTTTTTCATTAGATTAGACATCAGGCTTATGCAAACTAGAAATGTTTCCCGTTCAGTTATTTTTCACATTTTTCATAGACTATTAGTAATTTTCTTTTTTTGGCCAATTCTGTAATAATACTTTTTATTTTAGTTTTGTTTTTTTTTTTTTAAGATCGTATTTATTTCCAAGAGAGCAAGCAAGCGCAAGCAGTGGGAGAGGCAGAGGGAGAGAGAAAGGGAGAAGCAGACTCTCTACTGAGCAGGAAGCCCAACACGGGACTCGATCCCAGGACCCCAGGATCATGACTTGAGCCAAAGGCAGATGCCCAACTGACTGAGCCACCCAGGTACCCCTGTAATAATACTTTTTAGATCCATTTGTACTAAGTTAACATTAATTCCGTTTCATCTGCCTTGAAAAATAAATCCTGTCGTTCAATTACATAGTGGATTGACAACGAAATAACTGAATTCATGTCATTTTAGGAGAACACTTAGTGTTGCTGCGGACACTGAATAGTTTAAACAGGTAACTTCACCAAGTTTTCTTCTGTAATATTCATAGTCTAAGAGCATCCTGATTGGTCTCTCTTACCTATATTAGAATGCTTGCCAATTGAGTCTAAAGGAAATCTTCTAAACTCCTAGGATCAGCCAAAGGGAAGGGGAGAGGGTAAAGCTGAGGGTGAGGGGCTTAGAACCAGAATCCACAGCCCCCCTGTAGCACTCTGAATTCTGCTCAGTGCCTGCCACTCTGATCGCCTTTATTACGATACCCAGGATCCTGGCTGCAGAGAGCTGCCAAGGAGGTCTGGTCTCTCTCGTCCGCTCCCATATGCTCAGCCCTCAGCAATCTCTAAGATGCTAGTCTGGCTCAGGCTGGAGCTGGGCTGCAGGGTTTCCACAGTTCTGCCCCTACCCTGTGCCAGACCTTCAGCCTCAGGGGAACCAGCTTCCCACTACTGCTCCTAGGACTTGCTCCCCTCCTCGGGGCATCTGCAGTCTGAAAGGGGTGCTCCATCTGTGGGTCCTGGAGCCCTGCCAGAGGTTTCTGGAGATGCTGGTTGGCCCAGCCTCTTGGGGAAGAGGGGAAGATGCTAGGCTAAGGGAGTGACCCAGGGGTGGAGCCCCAACCTGTTTATAGGATTGCGGCTCCTCAGAGGCGGGCAGATTCGCGGCCCCATCCCATTAGGATAGTTGTTGACAGCCATCCAGGGAGCTGGCCTCTTGGCAGGAGCTGGATCTGGAGTGGAGCCAGAAGGGTTGGTATGGAAAGACTGACAACTAGGGGACCCCCTGGCCATCCTCACCAGGTAAAAGTGTCGCCAAGCTCATGGGTATCACTCAGGGCAGGACCTGGGGCCAGGGTGCATTCTGAGAAGCCTGTCTCGGTGAAAACCAAGGTGATTCTGGCCTCTGGGGAAGGCCTGGCTCCCAGCGCTGGGGTCTCTGCCCAGGCAGGGGCCAAGGGTGGGAGGCAAAGGGTAAGAGAGTCTGTGCTTGGGAATGGGGAGTGGGGGAGGGGGTGGATGGATGATCGGCATCCATAGAAGGGAGGGCCTGGGAGAACAGAACCTTCTCCCTCTGATCACTGTGAGTGATCAGCCAGCAATCCCCTTAGAGGTCCTTACCCTCCTCCCTGCCAAAGCTTGCATACCGCCTCAGAGAACACAGTGGCTGCGTGTCACAAGAGGACACCCCACCAGGCCCATAGTTCAGCTCTGCAGGTAGTGGGCCTCCGGAACTGGCAGAGGCCAAGAAACTACCCTGTGTGTCCCCAGAGCTTTGCCAGGCCAAGTCCCCATCCACTGCCAGTTACGCACTGGGCCAAGAGAAGAGGTTGCCACCAGGCCAAAGAGATCTATAGACTGCTAGCCCACTCCTTTCATGTGCTTCTCTCAGGCAGATTTCTCATCCTGTGCTGTGGACCAGGGCCAAAGGGACTGGCTCTTTGGGACTCCCCTGGTGCCCCTGCCATGAAAGAGGCTAAGTGTGCCAAGCTCACCATCCTGAGGCATTTGCCTCATTCTCAGACTTTGCCAGGCTTCTGGAGCCTTGGCCCTGAGACCCAGGCCCTAGTCAGATCCAGCCAAGTAGCTCCAGACGGGTGCTCCTGGAGAAAACTTGCCTGGCTCAAGTCAGGTACCAGGCCATCCTGGAAAACATAGAGAGGGACCCCTTCATTGAAGGACAACACCTCCTGCCCCAGCCTCTGTCAGCCTGAGATCTAGAAGACTTCCCCTCCAAAACAAGTGGACACTGATGAAAATGCCCAGATGCCAGTCTGGCAAGACCCCAAGGCTGCAGGAGCGGGGCGGTGGAGGGGCTGGAAGGCTCGGGCTCCATCTGCTCCTCCCATCAGCAGCTGGAGCCCCAGAACCCAGCCCTGGAGGTTTCTGTGTACCTGTGTTCATCCTCATCTCCCTGGAGAAGGCTGGGCATCCTTTTCCTCTGCCTGCTCTAGACCCAGCCCACGGGCAAAACTGAAGCCCAAGGTGCAGCGACTCTGGGGGCTTGAGTCTGCCCACATGCCTGGAAAGCACGTAGCTCCAGCGGATGCTGTTGGGACTGGTTGAATCCCCGAGATCGGACCCTCAACACCCAGCCTTCAAGTCGACTCCCGGGGCAGCCTCAGCTGTGGTCTCGCCCAGCCTCTTTCCTGCTGGAACAGGGGCCTGGAGCCTGTCCCGGCAGCAGGAGCAGGGCGGGAGGCCAGGCCAGGCATCCGGACTTGCTCTGGGACTTGCCTGCTTCAAGACCCGGGAGCATCGGCTCAGCACGACTCAGGAGATACAGGGCCTGAGGCTGGGCCTGAAGTGTCCACTCCTCCTCTCTGCAACCTCCCTACCACAGTGGGTTGCTGGGGGCCAGCAGGGGGAAAGGCAGCTTGCTCATTTTCCTTCTGCTGGTGAAGATCCCATGGTCGGACTCCTGTATGGGGAACTCCAGCCACATCAGATTCGCTTGGGTCATATCCCCGGTGATGGGCAGGGGCCGGCACCGAGCCTCTCCAGAGAGAGGAGACTGGAGGATGCCCTGGGGTCCCTGCATAGGGAGAAACAGTGGCTGAGACTCCCAGCAGGGAGGTACTCCCAGGAGTCTATGGGAAGGGGCAGGGGGCTGGGGAGGGGTGCGGGGAATCCCTGCTGGAGAAGCCCTTCACAACTTTCAGGGTCAGTCATCAATTAAGGGAGGACATTTCAACAGGGGAGGGGAAGACCCAATGCCCTCAGGAGAATCCTATTAGTTAGTTAGTTCAATATCCATATTGGTCTAGGACAAATCTATGAAATTCTACTGTTTAGATATCCAGAGGGCGGTGGGGGAAAGTTGCATGCTTTTACAAAGGAACAAAGTCCTGGGGAGATAGAACAGTACGGGAGGTGTGAGCTCTGATCTTGAAGACCTGGGCTTGAATCCTACCTAGGTCACTTGCTAACTCTGTGACCTGCAGCAACCTTTCTAAGCCTCAGTTCTCTCATCTGTAAAATGGGAGGAAATGAGAGTACTCTCTTAGGAAAGTCAAGAGGATAAATCAATTTGGAATACATAATCTGCTTAGTACAGCACCTAGAAACAGAACAAGCCCTTAATAAATAGTAATAAATAATAATTATCTAGAAACTTCTTACTTTTTTGCTAAGCATTCTGCAGACATTAACACATTTAGCCTCTATTAATTAGTCCCACTATTTATGAGGAAATGAAGGCTCTAAGAGGTTTAGTGACTTGTCCAGGGTCACATGGCAAGTAAGCAGAGGACCAAGGTTTAGATCCAGATATCCTGTCTAGGAGTCTGCCTTGCCCACTCCACTCAACCTCCCCGAGTAATGACCCATCATTGTATCTATTGTCACAGCCTATCCTGTGATGCTCTGTGTTAGTGATGGTTTTAGAGGTGATGAGAAATGGGGCTTCACCCTGGGAAAAATACCCTGCTAGGGGACAGTGGGCTTTCTGAGATTGAGAGGCTCTTGGTGACCAGAGAGAGAAATGGGCAACGATGCTCAAATTAGATATGGTGACTGGCTGGAAAGGAACAGGTGGGGACACTTCGTAGCCCACACAGGCTGTGGCCTCGGGGATGAGGGGGTCTGGGCTGCCTCTGTCCTTCCCCTGTCCTGGAGTGCACACAGAAGCTCAGAAGCAATTCTGTCCCCGGAGGGGAAGGAGTCCCACATATTCAACCCCCGGTTGGTCTCCCATGCCCTTACTGCTGCCCAGAAAGCCCAGGACCACAGCCCCAAGGGCAGTGGTGGGCGAAAGCTGTTTAGTCCCAGAATGCCTGGCAGCATCACTGAGTGTGTCAGGAGAAACCTCAGCACAGAGGGGTGGGGTTGGGGACCGAGCAGGAGGGACTGAGCAGTCTGTTCTCTCCCTCTAGGGGAAGGCCTCTGCCTGCTGGAGGCTCACTGTGAGGGTCCTGGAGGCACGGAACCTGGGCTGGACTGACCTGTGTGAGTTTCCTAGGCTCCAAGGGTGTAGAGGTGACCAGGCCCTGTGGGAAAGGCCCAGGTGGGAACTTGGGGGCTGGGATGGGCTGCCTGCAGTGGCCGACAAGGTCATGGGAGGAACCATGGTGAGGCCCCTGGAGAGGAGTGTAAGGAATTCTCTCTTACTCTGTTCTCTTAACGTTGGCAGTAAGTGAGGCAGACCCCTATGTGACCCTAGAGCTGCCAACCGTCCCTGGAACAAAGTTCAAGACCAAAACAATCACCAACTCCAGTCATCCTGTATGGAATGAGACCTTCAGTTTCCTAATCCAGAGTCAGGTCAAGGTAAAGGCCCGGACCACCCACCTAAGGACAGGCTGTATCCTCCTATCAGAGCACACTTTTCCTCCAGGGCTCAGTCTGAGACACTGGGGAGGAGGAGGGTCTTTGTTCCCAGCCCCGTGTGCTGTGTGGAAGAGAACCTGTGACCCACCCTGTGTCTGAGAGCCTGATCTCTGGCAAGTTGCTGGTCCTCTCTAAGCCCATCTGTGGAACCGAGGCAGTAAGAATCCCTTCCTAAGGGGGTTGTTGAGGTCAAATGAGATAAAGCGTGGAAGACTCCTAAAACAATGCCTGGTACATATGGTGCCTTGGGGGCAGCAAAGGGGGGAAGTGTGCAGTGGTGGGGAAACACTGAAAGAATTTTATTTTTAATAAAAACAAAAATTAGCAGGGGAAGATGAGGAACTTTGCTGGATTTCCTTTTAATGCTTTTAATTTTTACTATTATTTTTATTTTGAAGTACAAGGTATGGAGGCATAATCATCTTTTCCGACCCTGGGCATCAAGTAAGGGCTCAACAGGTATGAAGTACAGTAATGAGTAAATAATGTGCTAAGTTGCTGTTCTCGGGTCCCTAGAATGTTCTGGAGCTAAATGTCTATGATGAGGACTCAGTCACGGAGGACGATGCCTGCTTCAAGGTTCTCTATGACGTCTCAGAAGTCCTCCCAGGCCAGCTGCTCCGGAAGACCTTCTCCCTGCGTCCCCAGGTGAGTGGGGAGTCCCACCCCTCTGCGCCCCGCCCCTCTGCCCTCCAGGCTGAGGAAGTTCCCCAGCTTCTCCCTTCTGCTGGAATGCTGCTGTGTTGAATGTGTTCACAAAAGAGGGAAGCCCCTCCCAGAGATATTTATATCGTAGTAGGAAAGGAGAAGGCTTAACTGACTGTTGCAGACTGAATCACTCATTGCAGAGATTTTAGTCACGGGAGGGAGGTTTCTGGTGGTGGTGAACCTCCTAATATCAATCAAAACCTGCGTAACTAACCCTTGGGGCAGTTGGGGGAAGGGGCACTCCGTCACTCCTGCTCACTGCTTGCCTGTGGTGCCAAAGGCCTGCTTTATGAAGGTCTCTGCTTCTTCTCCAGGAGGGGAAGGCTGGGGAATGGGAGGGCGGGTTTCTGGGGTCAGGTCCCTCTCAAGAGGACTAGGGCATCCTTAAGCCTCTTTTGGCTTGTTCTCCTCATGTCCTCCTTCAGCCCTGCCAGGGAGAGAGGCCTGTTCTCTGCAGACTCATCAGCTGTGGCTAACTTGGGTAGGCAGCCCCTCTTTCCCCCAATTCTCAATTCCCACATCTGTAAAGTGGGAAGAACTGTAGTATTGCGCCTCCCTGAGTGACTGCTTGAGATGAGACAATGCATGGTCAAAGAACTGTGTCACCTCTAAAGATGTATAAATGTTCACGACTTGCTCATCATTGATTTCAGGGACAGGAGGAGCTGGACGTGGAGTTCAAGCTGGAAAAAACGTGAGTAATAATCACACAGCCCAGGGAGTGCCTCAGGACCCAGGCTTTATATAGGGAAATGTCTTTGACCCAGATTCTCTGTCCCTCCTGCCCCCACCCCTGCCAGTCTGGGTGGGAGGGGAGGGGTCCTCTTAGAGCAATGAGGAGAGGAAGGTCACTGCTTCCTTGTCCACACTCTCCCTCTCTCTCCCACATGGCAATCTTCAGAAGCCCCTCCCTCCCCCTGAGTGGTATCCAGGACTTAGGGTCCCTCGGCATCACCCAGGGAGGCCCCATGGGTGCTTGAGGCTGTGCTGTGAGGGGAAGCTCAGTATAGGGACCTTTTGCATTTGTCAGGCTGAGCTCTGGATATTCTGATTTTTCCAGGTCAGACTCTCCAGAAAACCTCATCACCAACAACGTCCTTGTGGTAAACCACCCTCCCCAGGCTTGTGAGAGGTTGCTGAGGGAGGGGCCCCAGAACCACCACTGAGGTTGGGGGTGCCAAAGGGACAGGCAGAGACAGGGCACTGTGGTAAGACCACCCTGGGCCACCCACCTCGGTGGTTCCCCTGGGGCTGTGGTCAGGGGCTGGGGGCTGGGAAGGGCCAGAGCCTTAAGAGAACATGGAGAGAGGGAGACCGAGACTCTGCTGGGTGGAGATTTGGGCCCAAGATTGGATGGCTGAGGGAGGCTCAGGGTGAATTGTAGGTGCTCCTGACAGGGTTTCATTACCTGTGATGGACTCCTAGCTCTTAGCCTCAGAAGATGGTGGGCGACAGGCCAGCCATGCCCAGCTGGGGTGTTAGCACTGCATAGCAGAGGCCCAGAGGAAGTTTCCAAAGCACTGCACTTCCAGCCAGGGGCTCTGGGACAGAGTCGGGGGTCAGTCAGCTCCTCCTTGAGACAGTGGGTGGTCTTGATCAGCTCTTCTGAAACAGTGCAAGCTCACAACAAGTTCACAGCAACAGGAACTGGTGGTAAACAATGGACTAGAAGCTTTCCACTCAAAGGTCGCTAGCCTGTAACACAGGCATGACCTGGCAGCAGGGCCTAATGTGAGGGAAGGAGGCCTCTACCCTCAGGGTCATACAAGGACCTGTTTGATGGGCTAGTGTTACTTTTACAAATGCACGTTAAAATTGTCATACCTATGGCAGCTGCTTTTTATCTGAGGTGCTGGAGAGCGGTGGTGGGCAGGTAAACTCAGCCAGTCTGAGGGAGAGAGTCAGGAGCTGGGTGGGCTGTGGGCATCAGGTGACAGGCATGGCAGAGAATGCAGTGGGCTCCTTTGGCAAGCTGGTCAGCTGGAGGACAGCTGGGACATTGGTCCATCATCCTGTAGGCCAGTGGTTTGTGTGCTACTGTTTGGGAGCAGTTGTGGGAGAAGGCACTCTCCAGGCTGAGCCTGCAGAGAAACACGGAGAGGAAAGAACGGTGCCTGAGGGTTGGGCGGCCTTCAGAGATCCCCCAAGTTCAGCAGATCTTTGAAAGCTGGGGGGGTGCACAGGGCGGAGGTGGGGCTCCCCCCGGCTGCTCCAGAATCAGAGGAGGGGGTGGCAGTTCTCCTTCTGGTCCCACTCTGGTCCCACTTCCTGTTCAGTGTGTGGTGGATTTGGGACAGTGGGGCTCAGGGGGTGAGGTTGAGGGGACCTCAGCCTTCCCTGCTGAGCACCAGGCCCACGATGTGATCTGCCCCAGGCCCGAGAGCTGTCCTGCCTGGATGTCTGTCTGGACCATGCTGGGAGCACCACCACGGTCACGGGTGAGGCCTACTCAGTGCTAGATGGAGTGGCTGGGACACCTGTGCGGGCCCTCTTTCTTCTTGCTCACACAGCACGAGGGTGACAGGTTCTCATGTGGACTCGAGGGTCTCCCTGACCTGGGGGAGGGTGTGTTGCAGGAAGCGGGAGTCCCATGGGGGCTGTGGGGCCCAGTGGGCTGGGGAGGGCCCATTCCAGAATCCTGGCTCTCATGGTCCAAACTCCCAGGTCTCGCCCACGTCCAAGCAATACTGCCAGTTTCCTGGGGTCCCTGCTCGGATTCCTGGCTCTTGTTCCCCTCATGCTAGTCTGCCCACTCTCTGCCTAGACCAGGGCAAGCTGGAGCTGGAGCTGGTGCTGAAGGGGTCCTATGAAGACACGCAGACATCCGTGCTGAGTCCAGCCTCTGCCTTCCGCTTCCATTACATGGCAGCCCAGGAGGGAAAACTGAGTGCGCGTCTGAGGGTGGGTCCTGGCTTTGCAGCTCTCCCTGCCTTGGGCCAGTTCCAGCTGCTGCAGGCCCCTCTTAGGCCAATGCCAGGCCCCTGTGGCCTCGCCAGCCTCCCCCAGAGAGGCACCAAGCTCTTGGCAGATAGGGAGAATCACCAGGAGCCTGGAGTGGGTGCGGGGATTGCCCTGCCTTGTCAGACCTTGTTTGAACCTTTCAGTGGCATCTGCCTCGATGCTGTTAGAAGAAAACCCCATCTCTGTGCCTCCAAGGCCCTGCATGGCCTGGCCCTTGCCCAGCTCTGCCGCCTCACTTTGTTCTGTGCTCCCCCTCTTTCATGATGCTCCAGCCTATATGTCTCTTCTTGCTTTCCCAACACACGAGGGGCCTTCGGGGTTTCCTCTGGCTGCTTCCAAGGCTGCCTGCTCTTCCTCCTCCTCCTCTTCTTCCTCCACTTCCTCCTCCTCTAGATCTCAGCCAAGAGGGGCCCTCCTTGACTCCCCATCTTAAATAGACCCCACACACCACACCTTTGGTTATTTTTTCATATCGTACTGCTTAGGACTTCCTTTACCACATTTTTTCTCCTGTATAACATTTGCTAACATCTGTTCATTACCTATTTTGTTATCAATTCATATACACAACTCAGAACAAAAATGTCAGCAAGTATTTTAATAATTAGTCATTATAAGTGGTATAATTATAATAACTGTAAATATTGTGATTATATTATTAGAGAGGGACTGTGTCCATCTGTCTAGATACTCAGTAAGGATTGGTTGAATTAATGCATATTTCCTTCCAGAGCTCTGCAAGTAACAGCTGGAGTTCAGACAAGTCAGCTGGACATCTCACTGTGCCCCTGAGGTCCTTGGCCGTAGGAAAGGAGGTGACCTTTCACATTCCTACTACAAATGTAAGTGGCCTCAACTGGATGGGAAGTGCCAATGAGAATAAAGATAGGGAGCCCAGGCCCCCAGGGGATACCCACATACCTCTCAGGGTTGAGAATATTCTAATCCAGTCTCTCATTTTGATTTCAGACCCCAGGAGTGAGGCTGCAGCTCAAGGCTGAGGGCTGGTAAGGGACATTCATATCTGGGGGGGACAGTGTGTGGTGGTCATGAGGCAAGGAGTGCTGAGGAATGGGTGGCCCTTGGGGTTGAAAGCAGGGAGGTAATATGGCAGCTATCCTGGGCTTGGTCAGCCAGTGGCTGAGCTATGCAGTGCCTCCCTGACCTTCGCATCCTCTACTGGCCCAGCCCTAAGGAGCTGGATGTGCACCTGGGCTTTGATCTGTGTGCAGAGGAGAAAGCCTTCCTGAGCAGGAGGAAGCAGGTGGTGGCCAAGGCTCTCAAGCAGGTCCTGCAGCTGGACAGAGACCTACAGGAAGATGAGGTTTGGGAGTACAGGGGAATGTGGGTGCAGTACCTTCGACTGGCCTTAAGGAAGTACCTGATCCTCGCCCTCTCTAGACACTCCAGTCAACAGAGATGAGAGTGGCTGTGTGGGGGAGGGCAGGGCGGGGGGTGGTAAGCTGTGGGGTTTTCACTCCCTTTCGGGCCCCATCCAGGGCCCAGAGCTGTCACTTCCTGGGAGAGGGAGGCGTTGGCTGCTCTTGGTCTAAGTCTGACTGCATCAGACTCTGGCCCCGAGGTCCCTTCCCTCCATCCTGGCCCTGGTTAAGCTGGCCTATGTCTGTGTCAGTCCAGGTCCCCATTGTGGGCATTATGGCCACAGGAGGAGGTGCCCGGGCCATGACCGCTCTCTACGGCCACCTGTTGGCCCTGCAGAAGCTGGGCCTCCTGGACTGTGTCACCTACTTCAGCGGCATCTCGGGCTCTACATGGTGAGGGGGCCTGGGACTGGAAGAGCAGAGATGATCGGGTCCTAGAGGAGAATGGAGCAGACACCAGGGGAACCCCTCTATGTGTTAAGAGGGAAGTCAAGAGGGTGTGAGCACTACAATCCAATGGGTGCCAGGTGGCTTTCTCAAAAGGGAGGAAGTAGGTATTACAGAGGTCCTCCCGTGGGAAGGGTTTGGAAGACACCCATTCCATGCTATGGGAGAGGGCTAAGGCAGCTGATTCAGGAGGAGCCGGGGTTTGAGTCTCTGCAACACCCCTTACTGGGCAACCGATTTCCCTTGATTCTCAGTTGACTCATCTCCAGAATGGGGTAATAGTAGTTCTTACTCCGTATGATTGTCCTGGGGCAGCCCAAGTAAAACATCTGATCTGACATGTATCAGGAACTCCAAGTCAGTAGATCTTTTTTTCTTTAAACATGATTATCTCATTTAAATCCTCATAACACTCTCTAGGGTAGGGTTTGTTTTTTTTTTTTTAATTTTTACTGTCCCTATAGTATAGATGGAGAAATTGAGATGAAGAGGTACTATCTTAACCTCTTACTTAAAGACAACATTGCCTTCCTATATACCCCACCCTGCCTATGATGAGGTGGGACTTCTCACTTTTCGAGATTCATTCCTTTGTGTCTTACTGAAATGTGACTTGAAGCAGTAAAAGGAGAGTAAACTCAGAGTGTTTTAGATGACAGCTGTGGGCAAGCAGTCTTCAAGGGCTTCAGGACAGGCCCATGAAGATGGGTGTGGGGTCTAGATCTGTTCCTGTACAATGCAGTAGCCACTAGTCCTGTGGTTATGGACCACTTGAAGTGTGGCTAGTCCAGATTGAGATGTGGTATAAAGATAAAAATACACAGAGAATTTTGAAGACTTGGTTTGAAAAAAAGAAATTATGTTAATTTTTTGTATTGATTACATGTTGAAGTGAGAATTTGGGGGTATATCAAATTAAAATAATACTACTAAAATTAATTTTTATTGCTCTCTTCTTTTTCAAAATGTGGTTACTGGGAAATTTTAGATTATGTCTATGTCTCACATTATGTTTAAATTAGACAGCGCTGATCTGAGAGAAAGCCCGGAGACACATTTTCCAGATGGGCAGGGCCTTGGCTGCAGGAGCATCACCTTGGGAGAAGTGGGAGGGTGGGAAGGAGATGTCGCAGTGACCCAATCCGGGGCCTCTGCCTCCTGTCATACATACTGTCCCTTTATTTTCCCAGGACAATGGCCCACCTCTACGGGGACCCCGAGTGGTCACAGAAGGACCTTGAAGGACCCATCAAATATGCCAGGGAGCACCTGGTCAAGAGCAAGATGGAGGTCTTCTCCCCGGAGCGCCTAGCGAGCTACCACCAGGAGCTGGAGCTGCGGGCGCAGCAAGGCTACCCCACGACTTTTGTGGACCTGTGGGCTCTCGTGCTGGAGTCCATGCTGCACAACCAGGTAGAGCACCAATGCTGGCAAGGCTAGACCAGCGTGCACCTGTGGTCCTGGGGCAGCCGCGCAGTTAGCTGCTGCGCATGTGCATTTCCTACTGGGTGAAGGAGGCTGGGTGAAGGAGGCTGGGTGAAGGAGGCTGGGATCTGTGGGGAAAGGACGCAGGGAACATAGTGTCTCAGTGCCTGCTGTACTTTGGGATCCTGCCTTTTTGAGTCAGGCTATTTTTCAGTTCATGGCCATAAAACAGAGATTTCTGAATCTCTCAGGAGCTTAGGGACGAGTCAGTGCCAAGGTCAGTTAAGCAAACAGAACTTTCACTATGCTTATGTGGCAGTGAGATTGCTCGAATAATTTTTATTTTATGAATACTGCAATATAGAATATCTTCTTCTATATCTTCATGGTAGTGTTAAAAGCACAGACTCTGGAGCCAGATTGCCTGGGTTTAATCTCAGTGCCCCTTACTAGCTCTGTGTTCTTTCACAAGTTACTAACTTCTCTGTGTCTCGGTTTTGGCCTCTATTCATTGGGGATGAGTGAGAATAGTACTTATCTCACAGCCTTGTTGTGAACACTCAATGGTTCTTTGGCGTAGAGTTAACATTATTAGCTATTATATATATATTTTTTAAGATTTTATTTAATTTATTTGAGAGATAGCAAGTGAGAGTACAAGCAGTGGGGAGAGGGAGAAGCCTGTTCCCCACGGAGCAGGGAGCCTGGGATCATGGCCTGAGCTTAAGGCAGAGGCTTAACCATTGGAGTCACCCAGGGATCCCAGTTATTATATTTCTTTACTGTTTATTGTAACACCATGAAGACCAAACTGAGCAGATAACATTTTTTATAAATTGCTTCTTTAAGGTAAGTTTAGTAAGTCAACTGCTTAATTTTACATTAACTGATACAATTACTGAAATCAGTTCTTTTGTTTCCACTATTGTTTTACCACATATAATTATCTGAATGTTTCTTTTAAAGCACTTGAAACAACTAAAACACACAAAAAAGTGTCCTTAACATTTCTTATAAAAAAGTAAACCATCAAATACATTAGCAGAGGAATGATTCATACCTTCCTTATCTTAGGGCATCAGAAGTTTGACCGAGAAAGATTATCATGTAAACTAACCAAAAATGAATTGCATTGGATTTTTTTCTTTAATTTTTATTCTTGCTGGTAAGAGCAATGTTCCCTGGAAGTTACCAACCATTCTTATTTTTAATGTATTAGTTTAACAATGTTTATTATATAAACAATATTTATCATTAAATATTATAATAATCTTCAGACCTAAGAAAATGCATAAAGCATAAAGAATAATGTAATGAATATGCCCAATCTCACCAACAAGCCTAAGAAATAGAATGTTACAGAAAGACTTGAAGCCCCCTGTGGATGCTTCCCCAGTCCCATTTCCCTCCCACCCCCAGAGGCAACCACCATCCTGAATTTGGGTTTCTCATCACATTTATATCTTCAGTCTGTATACAGGATTGGATTATATAATACATAACATATGATTACATAACATACCTTATTTATATCTATTATATATTTTATTGTATATACCTTTTATTGTACATCCTTAAGAAAAATACAGTTTTACTTGCAGAAATTGTTTTGAACAAGTCTCTTTGTACACAGATGTTATAGGTTCTCTGCACCTCGAAGATACATACCCAGGGTTCGGGTTCTTAGCCCATTGGGTAAATGCATCTTCAGCTTTCCTGCCTATTGCCAATTGTTATCCAAAAAAGGTTTCATTAATTCACATTTCCACTCTAAGTGTATCCGTTTTTTTTTTCTCTACACGCTCTTCAGACTTTTAATTTTTTGTTCTTCTTATGGGTGTCATACAAAATTTTATTTTAGCTTTCCATTTCCTTGATTTTTAGTGAGACTGATCATATTTTCATGTATATTTCTCATTGGGACTTCCTCTTCTGTGGATTACCTACTGCAATCCTTTTCCAGTTTTCTATTAATTCACCTCTAATATTATTTTGTGGAATGCCTTATAGATTTTGGATATTAATCCTTTATCAGTTCTACTAGATTTTCATGCATCATTTTAATATAATCTGGTCTATCATTCTTTTCCTTTATGGTTTGTGCATTTAGAGTCTCCCGAGAGAGATCTTTCCCTCTCCTAAAGTTATAATCTCCTATATATTGTTATAAAAGTTTTAAAGATTTGTTTTTCACAATTAGGACTTAGTCTTTAATAGATCTTCAGGTATTATGTGAACACGAACCCAGTTTTATTTTTCTTCCATAGGGATAGCAAACACATTAAACTTAATACCACTTATTCTTTTTTCTCCACAAATCTGCATCACTACTTGTATCCTGTGTCAGCCTTCATATATTCATGGGACTCTCTGAGCTCCCTTCCATTCTAATGGGGCTGATTCTCCAACATGGGCCAACACTGCACTGGTTTAGAGACCCAGGGTTTGTAATGCATGCAGGTATCTAATAGAGGAGATTTACCCCCCATTTGCCATCTTGGTTTTTCTCAGCATTACCCTGGCTCCTTCTGGCCCTTTGCTCTTCTATACATGTAATAGAATCAGCTAGTCATGTTTCATGAGAGATATTAGCATTTTTGTTGAGAGGGACCTGGGTGGCTCAGTTGGTGAGGCATCAGACACTTTGTTTCAGCTCAGGTCATGATCTCAAGGTCCTGGGATGGAGCCCCTTGTGGGGATCCCCACTCAGCAAGACGTCTGCTTATCTCCCTCTCTCTCTGCCCCACCCCCTGCTCCCATGCACACTCTCTAAAATAAATAAGTAAATCTTTTTTAAAAAGAATTTTTATTGAAGTGGCATTTAATTTTTAAAACCCATGTAACTACTTGAAATATTATTTTATTAATATATCCTATGTATTCTTCAGATCTGCTTTTAAAGTTCACGTTCAGTTGTGAACTTCTGCTAATTCAGTTGTGAATTATTAATGACTTTTCTGCCTGGTGGTGGCAGTTAATTACTATAGAGTTGGGAGAAGCTTGTTTTAACAGTTTACTTTATGAGGTGCTAAAAAATGCAGTTTGATCTGAGGCTATAAAAAAGACTTTCATTTAATTACCATTTGATCCTCCAGTAATGACTTAACAAGATTTAAGGTACAAGGCACAAGGTTCATAGTCATTTTTTTAAAAGATTTTTATTTATTTATTTGACAGAGAGAAAGATCACAGGTAGGCAGAGAGGCAGGCAGAGAGAGAGGGGGAAGCAGGCTCCCTGCTGAGCAGAGAGCCCGATGCGGGGCTTGATCCCAGTACCCTGAGATCATGACCTGAGCTGAAAGCAAAGGCTTAACCCACCGAGCCACCCAGGCACCCCCATAGTCATTTTTTAAAAGACAAACTTAAAGTTTGGGGTGTTTTTGGTTCACAAGAAAAAAATCTTGTGGCATGAGCACCCATGTAGTTTAAAAAATTTTGTCTCAATGTTAAAGCTTTTCAAATATTTTCTTTTTAGTTATCATGCTTTATGTCTTAAAGCTAACATTCATTGTATGCTTTTTAAAATAATTCTTTAATCAGATAAATTTAGTGTGTATTTCAAATCTAAGTTTTTTGGTAAAAACGTTTATTATCTCTATTTTATGCCAATATACAGCTCCAAAAGTCATTTTAAATGTCAGAAAATATAAATCCATAAGAAATCACAATTTCATTAATATTATTATTACAGAAATAGTATACCCTGAACTTTACACAGAGTTTTATTAGCCTACACACTTCTAGAATACTGCTTCAGGCTTTGAAAACAAAACAAAACAAAACAAAATAAAAACATGCTTGTAAAATATACCAGTTACAATCAGTGCTTCTCAAACCATGTCTATCAAACTTTTTTATCTTTTGCTGGCAAGCCCTGAACTGCTTAGAAGTTGCTCACCATCCTCAGGACGAAACTCATAGTTTTTCTCTTGTCTTTTTTTTTTTTTTTAGATTTTATTTATTTATTTGACGCAGAGTGAGAGAGAGAGAAATCACAAGCAGGGAGAGCAGGGAGAGGGAGAGGGAGAAGCAGACTCCAGCCTGAGCAGGTAGCCTGATGTGGGACTTAATCCCAGGACCCTGGCACCCTTTTTTCTCTTGTCTTTTCCTGAATTAAGGTCTTACATGTTTTTCTTCAATTCTGGCCAAAAAAGGTTTTGGCTTTAGTCCCCCCTGCCCATACAGTACCTAGACCATGTCAACACATCGCCAACACCACACCCAGCTCCCACATCTTCTGGGGACACTTGAGTCATCAGAGCGGTGACCTGCAGGGCTGGGAACACTCATTTGAAAATGGAGGTGGGGGGATGGGGGGCGGGGCTTGGAGCACCTGCCGCTGCTGGTGAGCTATTAAAAGGAAAAAGAATACAGTATTATTTCAGTAATACTGTATTTCAGTATTTCATCTATTTCAGTAGATGGAGGGGGTGAGCTGACCGTTTTTCCCCGGTCAGAAACGGAGCCTCTGGAGTAAAAGAACACATTTCCCCTCGTCTTACATGTCAGAAGAGCAGGCAAACAGGATTCCCGAATCAGAAGACTTTGAGAAGGGAAATCACAGTTATTAATCAAGCTCCCTCCCTCTTCAGTACCCACACACACTCACACCTGTGGGTCTGACTTGTCGCTATGGTACAGAGCGCCAGGGGCTTGAGCTGCGTTGGGGGATTTTTCCTGCGGTTTCCCTGTAACTCAGGTCCCACAGAGTACTCCTGCAGAACTTGGGGAGGGAGCACACGAAGAGGACCCATGAGTGACAGAGGGCTGCGAGAGGAAGGCATACACCAGGGAATGCAGGGTCCTTGCCATGGGTGTGGGAGGGGGACTCCTCATTGGGAAGGTGGGGCTAGACACCTGGGACACACACTTGGCTAATCATCAGAATCATCTGGGGAGATCGAAGAACATTCCTCAGTGGCTTCTGCTGATTCTCAGAAGTAACCTACTCATCTATTTAGCACATCCTCTAGGTAAATCAGTTGATAAGGGCAGATCAGGCTGTTTGGGAACCTCCAAGGTCTAGCTGCTGAGTGAGGTGCCTTCCAGTTCGGAGAGCCCCGAGAGAGGGCCTGTGGGTCTGTGCTACATGTCTCCCTCTGTCAGAAGCAGCCACAGCCTGGGGCAGGCTCTCTCCCAAGGGGGCTTCAGGCAGCCACCACCATTAACCTTGCTGATGCTGGTCATGAACCCTATTGGCATCTCTGGCCCGGGAAGGAACGAGACCTTTCTCTGCCCCTAGAACTCTGGAGTGCTGTCCCAAAAGGCAAACCATAGTCCCTGTCATCAAGGCAGAATTGGGTATTTTATTGAAGAGAAAATTGGAAACAGAGGCAAGAATAAACAATGGGGTACAACTTCATACTGTGCAAAGCAGGAGAGAGGGGGGCAGGTAAGGGAGAGGCAAGGATTCCTGGAAAGCATTTTGGAGAGGCCGAGACTTGGACTGCATTCATGTAAATCTAGAAGGGGCAGCCTATCCCTTGATGGAGCTTATAGTGTATATTGTAAAAGGGGATCCCTGTGTCCTTTCTGGAAAGCAGTGTGTGTGTGTGTGTGTGTGTGTGTGTGTGTGTGTGTGTGTGTATGGTCTGTGCATCAGGGTCCCCATCCCCTCCACCCTTCAACCCATAAAGATGGGGCCACAGACCACAGGAGCAGAGGTGTCACTCCTGACACCATAGTCCTTGTGAATGGCATTCTGTTGAGATACTCAGTGCGCAACCTCCTTAGCCTTACACGGCAACCCCTGCATTTGGTCAGAATATGGGAGTGGGAGTGAGAACTGTATGGGTGCACCCACCCATGCCATCCAAAGTCCAATGGAGAGCTGCCTCCTCACCCTCAGCCTCTGCCCCCCGCCCCCCACCAACTCCACGCAGTCCTGGTGGAGTTGCTGCCTCTAGGGTGCTCCCAACCACACCTAGGCCCTCATGCCTCCCACCCCAGGTGATGGACCAGAAGCTGTCGGAACAGAGAACAGCACTGGAGCAGGGCCAGAACCCTCTGCCCCTCTACTTGAGCCTCAATGTCAAAGAGAACAATCTGGAGACCTTCGACTTCAAGGGTACAATCTTTAGCCCTGCCCACTAACCCTCCAACACACACACACACGCACACACACACACACACACACACTCATGCACACACGCATACACGCATACCACCCTGTGCACGGGTCTTTAGAGAATTCAGACAGGGAACTCTTACACAGATTGCTCAGCCTTCTGGGAAGAGAGGCGGTTCTGATGGGCTGATGAGCCAGGCAGCAGAGCTCATGGACCTGGTGGGGGTTGGGGGTGGGGATGTGGTCAAGGGGCTGGGTGGGGGGATGGTCAGTCCAGGAGTCAGCCAGGCAGGGAGAAGGCTGGGGCCAGCTGGGGCCGGCTGGGGGCAGCATCTTTGGCCCCTGTCAGAGCTGGGGCGCTCCCCACTCCACTAGCCTCTCATTCCTGCCTCTCGCTCCTGTTCCCATAGAGTGGGTGGAGTTTTCCCCCTATGAGGTTGGGTTCCTGAAGTATGGAGCCTTTGTCCCCAGCGAACTCTTCGGCTCCGAGTTCTTCATGGGGCAGCTGATGAGGAAGCTCCCTGAGTCCCGGATCTGCTTTCTGGAAGGTGAGTGGTGGTTACTCTGAAGATTGTGTCTGGTCCCGAGCCAGGCCTACCTGATTGGGCATGATTCCTGTGCTCAGGTCTGGCAGAGCCCCTGGCAGAGGGGGTGGTAGGACAACACTGGGGTGGGGCTGTGAGAGCAGCCCACCTGCCTCCCATTTTCCATCCCCGCCCTCTGTGTGATGGGAGGCCAAGTGCTGAGGCCTGAGGCTGACTTTTGTCAGGGGGTTGGCCTTCAGGTATCTGGAGCAATATTTTGTCCCTGAATTTGCTGGATGTCTGGTATGACCTCCTCAGCTCTGAGGACACCCGGAAGCAGCACCTCAAGGACAAGATCAGGAATCTGGGTAAGAAGCGAGGCAGGAAGGGGAGCCTGGGCTGAGGTGGCTTCCTCTTCAGATGCTGGGGGAGGGGCACTCTCCGAGGGGAAGCAGGCCCAGGCATTTCCAGGCCTTTCACCTGACCAATATCTGTTTCTCTGAGCCCAGAGGAGTCTCCTGCCTCCTTGAAGACCTCCTCGTGGCTGGAGGCCTCATGGCTGCAACCCGGGACAGCACTGGCCAAGGCGTTTAAGGGTTTGCTGACGGGCAGGCCTCTCCACCAGCACAGCTGCAACTTCCTCCGGGGCCTTCAGCTGCACCGGGACTACTATAGCCAGAAAGACTTCTCCACCTGGGCAGGTAAGGGCCCCCCCCCCCGCCATGTCTCCCTAGGGAATAAGCTTGGGCTCCTGAGGGGGGGACAGGGACCGTGGTTAGGACTGGCAGAGGACTTGAGGGTGGGTGAGTCATGGCATACCCTTCTGGGGTCGGCCTGCAGAAGGTCTTGGGAAGGGCTGGGGTGGCATGTCCTCACAGAGAGTGACGCCAGAGGACAGAAGGGGACATGGAGGCAATTACAGTGTGAAGGGTAGAAGATGTGTGGCCGAGGAACTGACTGTCAACTGCCTCCCCCATCAGACTGCCCACTAGACTCCACCGCTAGCCAGCTGACCCCTCAGGAGCCCCAGCTTTGCCTGGTAGATGCCGGCTACTTCCTCAACACCAGCTGTCCCTCCATGTTCCGGCCAGGCCGCAGGCTGGACCTCATTCTCTCCTTCGACTACTCTCTACCCTCATCCTTTGAGGTGCCTCTGGTTGTCCCACGGGAACCCCAGACACCCTGTGGTCAGGCCATGCTCCAGGGGCAAGCCACTGGGCCACTGGCCCTGACCTCCTGGGTCCCCAAGGGGAGGGAAAGGTGACAGGCTCTGACTCACAGACTCCTGCCAGGGCCCTTGGTTGGGAAGGGCTATGGAGGTGCTGGGGCACTGGGGTCCCAGGACAGGTGGACAGGGAGGAAACACCCACCCAAGAAGAATCTGCGAGGAGATCCTGGCCTGTCCACAACCATTCCCTGAGGGCGTCTCTGGGCACTCAGGAGTAGGGCGGGATGGGGGCAGGAATAGGGCTCTGGTACAGAAGTGGGTCCCTTACTGAGGCCCTCAAGGCTCTGTGGAGTTGCATAACCTAGCAACAGAATCCCAGATGGGAGCAGAGTGCTAGGTCTCTGCCTCCCCCGAAGATACTAACCGAACAACATTGGCCAACCACCGGACTGCTTCACCTCCCTCTGAGAGACACTGGGTTTCATAACTGGACCACACACAGGCCAGGACCAGGTTGTCCCAACATGGAGCAGTCCAGTTGGGCTGAGCTCTAGCATTTTCTAGAGCACTGACCTGAGATGATCAGGAAGTAGCCAGTTCTCTCTGGGCCCCCTACCCCCAACCAGGCACTGCAGCAGACTGAGGCGTACTGCAGGGCCCGGGGACTGCCATTCCCTCGGGTGGAGCCCAGCCCTCAGGACCAACACCAGCCACCAGAGTGCCACCTCTTCTCAGATCCCTCCTGCCCTGATGCCCCTCTCCTGCTGCACTTCCCACTGGTCAACGCCTCCTTCAGGGACCACTCAGCCCCCGGTAAGGCATCCTCTCCCTTCCTCCCAAGCCTGGCAGGCCAGACCCTTGGAGGCATGGCCTGCGAGCTTCCCGGTGTTCTCATGGGGGCCAGCGGGAGGAGGGGTCCTCAGGCTAGTTCCACACAGTTCTGGACCCGGCAATGTGCTGGTCTCTGTTGGGGATGCCATGTCCCTTGCAGAGCTCTCTGCTGGCAAAGTCACGGTGCTGCTGTCCTGTCTCCACACATCCCTGCTCACCTCAGCTGTACCTGGGCTCCTCTGCTCTCCTGGGGTGGTGTGTGGGAATCTGGGCCTCCAGAGGCCTTCCTGCATCATCCCCATCTGCAGCCATCTCCACCCCTGCTTGGCACCATGTTTTGGAGGGCCAGGCAGCTGGGACCGAGAGGCCCCCTGCCCCAGGCTCTCAGATTCTCCTGACGTTTCCTGAGATTTCAGTTGGCTTCTCCCTCCTACCCCAGCCCTTCCTTCTCAGGAAGCTGGGCCTCTACTCTGGGGGTCCCTGAAATGTAAAACCTCATCACTATGCTTTCCAGTCCTTGCCTCCTGCCAACTGGTCAGACCTTTCAGGTGGGGAAGACTCACTTCTTCTGTGTGTTATTCCTGGCTTTCTGGTTCCCGTTCTAATTCCACACCTTCCAGCTTTACCTTTAACAGGCTCAGCCCGCATCTTAGCATTCTCTCTCTCTCTTTCAACAAAGACTGCTTCTTACAAAGCAGAAATCCCTTTGGTTTTCAGACTCCTGTTTCCATCATGAGTTTTAAGAACTCTTCACTAGGCTGACTGACTCTGGTCCAGCTGTTTGCTCCTTGCCCTGGCAGGTGAAACAGATACCATGGTGTTGCCTCAGGAATGGGAGTGCATTGCCACAAGGAAGTGTGGGGAGCAGCAAACCCTTCATATCTCCAAATAGTACCTACTCTCCACATTTCTGTTTCTGGGCAAAGGACACAGAGGCCTGGGGGGAGAGCAAGGAGCCCTTCAGTGAGGAGCAGCCCACCGCTTTGCCCAGCCTCAAGGCATCCTCCTGCCCAGCTCTGGAGGCCTCTGGGTCCTAGTCTTAATCCCTCTCACCCCTGGGCAGGTGTCCAGCGCAGCCCTGCAGAGCTCCCGGCGGGCCAGGTGGATCTCACTGGGACTGCCTCGCCCTACTCCCTGTTCAACATGACCTACAAGGAGGAAGACTTTGATCACCTGCTGCAACTTAGTGACTATAACGTGCGGAACAGCCAGGGCGCCATTTTGCGGGCCTTGAGGACTGCCATGAAGCACCGGGCCCTGGGGGCCAGGCTTCGAGCATCGCAGAATTGAGGCGGCTCAGGGACCCCAGCTCTCTGACAACCCTCCAGGGGCTGGAGGTTTAACCCAAGCACTGCTGGGTAGGGCCACAGCCCTCACTGGGCTGTCCACCCCTGGGCTGCCTCTGCAGCAGTTCTCACGGCCCAGAGGGCTGCATGGCACCCCAAGTTCTTCCTCACTTTCATTGCTGGCTTGAGAGGAGCTGGAAGTAAACTCACCAGACCAGTGTGCAGCATAGCTGGTCTGACTAGAAACATGTTCCCATGCAATGACTCTCATGCCGAACAGAACAGATGTGGGGTACAAGCTGCCAGTGTCAGACCAGGGGTAGGCAGGTCAGGTCCTGACTGAGAGGTGGCTCCAGGCATCAGGAATCACACTGTGTCCTGAGAACCTTTTCTTCGTCCCCTCCTCCCCTTTCTCACTCTTCTTTGATACTATCTTTAAGCAACTATAGCGACCCATAGTCCACACACAACATGATTCATCCTTCTAGAAAGTACGACTTGATGGCTTTTACTACATATTCAAAGAGTTGGGCAAACCTCCCCACAGTCATTTTGAGAAGATTTTTGTCACTCCAAAAAGAAACCCCTCATTTCTTAGATGTCAACCTCAACCCTCCTTCCCCAGCCTTAGGCAACCACTAATCTACTTTCTGTTTCTATAGATTTGTTTCTTGTGGGCATTTCCTATACATGGAATCATACAGTATGTGGCCTTTTGTGTCTGGCGTCCTTTACTTGGTGGGATGTGCTCAAGGGTCATCCACGTGGTAGCAGGCGTCAGTGCCTCATCCCTTTCTGTGGCTGAATAAAGTCCCACACTTACCTGATGGTCACTGGATAATGGACCCTTGGGTTGTTTCCACTTTTTGGTCATTCCAAATAATGGTTCTATGAACAGTCATGTACAAGTCCATATGTGGAAAGTGTTTTTCATTCTTCTGCATGTCTACTAGGAATACATTTGCTGGATTATAATGTAATTCTCTGCTTCACCTCTTGAGGGCCTGCCAGCCCATTTTCCAAAGCTGCTGCCCCATTTTTCTATTCCTAACAGCCTTATACTGGGGCGCCGATTTCTTCACCTCTTAGCCCCCACCTGTTGTTGTCTGTCTTTTGATCTCAATCATCAGAGTGGGTGTAAAGTGGTATCTTACCAGCATTTCCCTAATGACTAATGATGTTAGGGACCTTTTTGTATACTCTAGGCCTTTTGTAGATCTTCTTTAGAGAAATGTCTATTCAGATCTTTTGCCCATTTTCACTGGATTGTCTTTTTCTTATTAAGAGTTCTGTATATTTTCTATATACAAATCCCTGACCCAATGTATGATTTGCAGTTTTTCTCCTAATCTGTGGGTTACCTTTTCACTTTCCTAAGGCTATCCTTTGAAGCACAGAAGCTTTCTTACTTTGATGGTGCCATTTACATATATATATATATTTTGCTGCTTGTGTTTTTGGTGTTGTATTTAAAAAACCATAGTCTAACCCATAGTTATGAAGGTTTACACCTGTTTTCTTCTAATAGTTTTATGGCTTCAGCCCTTAAATTTAGGTCTTTGATCCATTTTGAGTTCACTTTTGTATATGGTGTGAGATAGGGGTTCAATTTCTTTCTTTGGCATATGGGTTTCCAGCTATCCCAGTACCACTTGTTGAAAAGGCTATTCTTTCTCCCATTGAATGGTCTTCAGGGAGGGTTCCCTGAAAATCAGTCACCTGTGGATGTGAGGGTGTATATCTGGACTTATTTCATTGATCTGTTTGTCTGTCCTTACGCTAGACCACACTGTGGTGATTACTGTAGTTTGTAATCAATTTTGAAATCAGGAATTGTGAGCCTTCCAATTTTGTTAGTAGGCAGGAACAAGGCTTAAGCAGTTTGCTCGTCACTAAGCTCAAAAGTGGCAAAGCCAGCACTGGAACTGGAAACTTTAAAATCAAGCAAGGCTTGGGGCATGTGGATGACTCAGCCACTTAAGTGTCTGACTTTAAGCTTAGGTCATGATCTCGGGTTCCTGGGATCAAGCCCTGCATGGGGTCCTGGGGTTACGTGGGGTCCTAGGGTCAGGCTCCCAGCTCAGTGGGAAGACTGCTTCCCCTCTGCCTCCCTCCCTCTACCCTTCCCCCTGCTCATCCTCTCTGTCTCTTTCTCAAATGAATGAATAGAATCTAATAAAATAAAATAAAATAAACCTACCTAGGCTTCTAACTGCTATGCCACACTGCATCTTTGGGTCCTTACTTCGTAGCATGCCCTATTGTACAAGGAAGAATTAACCTTACCTAAAGAGTGGTCTGGCCTTGGCTCTCGGCTACTGAGAGGGTGATCTCTTCACCCTTCGAATGGCCTACCTGATAGGAGTGTCTTTGTGTGCCTGCGGTTCAGGCTGCTGGACAGCCTCACAGTGTGATTTGTGATGGGAACTCTGAAACAGTTGGTATACATTCTCACCTCCAGAGGAACTGGAACTAAAGCCATGAGCCTGACATCCCAGAGGGATTGGAGACCAAAGGTCAGCCACATGGGCAGGATGTGATTGAGCCCCAGTAAAAACTCTGAACACCAAAGGGCCAGGGGAATGTTCTGTGGGTACTGTCACACACTGTGGCTGGATGGGGGCCACACCACCCTTGACTCTGTGGGGAGGGAATGACTGGGAGCTCCATGTTTATTTAAACCCCTCCTGGACTCTGTCGTGTGCATCTCTTCCTCTGGCTGGTTTCAGTCTGTGTTCCTTCACTAAAATAAACATTAATCCTAAGTCCAGAGCTTTCCTGAGTTCTGTGAGTCATTCTAGCCAATTATCCAACCTGTGGTCCCAGGGACCCTGGAATTGGCAGCCAGCTGGCTGGAAATGAGGGTTGTCCTGGGACCCTGAACTTGTGGCTGTTAGTCTGAAGCCAGGACTCGGTTGCATGGTGGCTATTCCCTCAGGCGGTAGTTTGGTGAGCTCCCTGGGCAGGCGGGGTCAGAAGGCCTAGGCAGACTGGGCAGTGGGGAGGACTATCCCTCAACTTTGCAGCTTGGGTAATGCAGGGCACCTATGTTCTGGGGAGTGAGAGGAGTACAAGTAGGAAAAAAATAATAATAAAAGATTTGTTCCATTTCAGGAACTTTCCCTAAAGCCAGAGAGAGGGCCGAGGAGTTCCATGCAGCCCCAGAGTGGGCTGGGCTGAGGCTCAAGGCCACATCTGGTGCATGAGGGTGCATGTGGGCATATGAGTGTGTCTGTCTCCCCCTCCCCCCTCCCTTCTTACCCCATGATGAATTGCTGTTACCCCAGGTTCCCTGACTGCCTGAGGTCTCATCAGCCCATTCTAACCTGAGTGAAGACTGCAACTCAGGCACCCACGGACTCCAATTGTGCAAGGCTCTTGCTACAGCCTGTGGGCCCCTCCTGGGCCAGGTCCAGAGCTTTCCTCAGGGACAGGAAGGCCCTATAAGCTGCCGCATCACTGCCCCGGGCCTGTGCTGGCAATCTGCTCTTTGCCCAGCACAGGTGGTGGCAATGGGAACACCAAACAAAGAGTGAACTGAGAGATAGTTCATGTTCCTGTCATATCCCATTTAACAATGCATAGAACAAATGAGAATAATAATATAAAAGAAAATATTTAAAAAATTGATAAAATTCAATACAAACCCAAGATTGATGAAAAGTTCTTAACAAATTAAGAATAGAAGGACATTCACTTAACCTGATAGGGGATATCTCTGAAGGTTAATTCTGTCAACTTGGCTGGGTCACAATGCCCGGATATTTGGTCAGTGTTCTAGATGTTTCTGCAAATGTGGGTTTTGGATGAGATTAACATTTAAATTGGTGGAGTTGTTTTTTTTTTTTTTTAAGATTTTATTTATTTATTTGACAGATCACAAGTAGGCAGAGAGGCAGGCAGAGACAGAGGGAGGAGGAAGCAGTCTCCCTGCTGAGCAGAGAGCCCGATGCAGCACTCGATCCCAGGACCTTGGGATCATGACCCGAGGCAAAGGCAGAGGCTTTAACCCACTGAGCCACCCAGGCACCTCTAAATTGGTGGAGTTTGAGTAAAACTGATTATTCTCCACAACATGGATGAGCCTCATCTAATCAGCAGAAGGCCTTAATAGGACATCAACTGACTCCCCCAGCAAGAGGGAATTCTACTAGCACACTACATTTGGATGCCTTGAAACCCTTCCCTGAGTCTCCAGCCTACCAGCCTTCCCTGCAGATTTTGGACTCCCAAATGCTTTATGAGGCCCAATTATATGAGGCAATTCCTCAGAGTAAATAATTATCTCTCTCCCCCTCTACCCACTCTCCCCCCTCCTCCTCTCTCCCTTTTTCTCCCTCTCTTTGTCATATACATATATTTATATATGTATCTCCTGTTGGTTCTGTTTCTCTGAATAACCCTGACTAATACAGTATCTATGAGAAGAAGAAAAAATGCCCCATCCTCCTGAATGGGGAAATCTTAGACTCATTTCCTTATAGTTCAAAAACAAGATAAGGAGTCCTGCTGTCTCCATTTCTTCATAACCATTTCCTGGAGCTCATTCTGTGTCTGTGGGCTCAAATCCAGGCAGGATGTAACTAGCCTTCTGCAGACACAGTGTTGGCCATGCCATCCATGGCAATCAGCTCAAGGCCCAGCCGGGGAAGGGTCTGCTTCCAAGCCAACACATGTGGCCACTCGCAGGACTCAGGTCCCTGTGGGCTGTTGGCTCGAGGCCACCCCTGGTTTCCTATCACTGGGCCTGTCCACAGGGGAGGTCACAATATGGCTGCCAGCTTTGTCAATGTGAGCAAGCAGGGAGAACCACAGAGAGGGTCTGAGGGACGTTCTAGAGAAAAGAGATGACCAAACTCTATGACAGATCAGATTCAGGGGCACCATGGGGGTTAAAGTTCCACAGAAGATGTTGAAGGAGTTTGTAGCCTAAAAGAATGGGGGTGGTGAGCATGGTGAGGTGCTTTAGAAAGGTTTCTGGCCTTTGTGGTGGTGGGCTTGGGT